CCTTCCTAAGTTTTCCTGTGTTACCCTTGATATTGCTGACTGCTAAAGACCTGCAAGTAGCAGATCCCAAGATCCCATCACTTTCAGAGGAGATTATCAAAGTACATATATAGATACAAGGTAGATGATAACAACAGTAGAATCCAGCTTCATCTATTTTGGTAACCGTCCTGCTTTGAGACCATTATGTTTTGACCTTACTGATTTTTTCCTTACAAGTGAAATTACTCAGTAAATCATGATGCCCTTCTGAATTTAATCATTGGCATCTTTTCGATCATTAAAACAAAAACAAGAATATGGTTGTATACCGACCTCTCTCCAGACGTAGAATTGAGGAAGCATAGTGATCACAGCCACACTCCAAGCCAGCAATAACATCCTAGACACCCGGCCTCGACCAATTGTAGAAGTCCAGAGCGGGTAACGAAGGGCATAGAGACGGTACAAAGCAATACAGACCATGATATTCGAGCTAAAAATGATAGGTGAATGAAACATTATGTTTTTAGACTCTCTGAAATATCGGGAGATTCTCAGGAACCATTGTCTAGGCCTCTCGGTGCCACCAAGCTAGCAAAACACCTATTGTTACCGCGAGCCCAAAGCGAGTAAAAAGAAATATTTGAAGAAAAAGATGCATCATAATAATTCCGGCGATAAATGATCGTTGTCTGTGCATACAGTCACTAGCAGTCGACTAATTTGGTTTTACAGTTAAGGAAAACGAGCGGCCTACGCATTTTGGTAGTTCAATAGTCGGATTAACGACAAAGTCGTCGCCTTTCGCTTTCTTAGAAAAACTCTGCTGCATAAAGCTGGCCGAGTGTGGGTGCGTGTGTGCCGGCCGTGTATTCCGGCCGCACGTGTGTGTTGTCTGCCGATGTCAATTAGGTAGACAGCTTATGGTAAGCTTCCCCCATAGGTAAGCACTGAAACTGTGAAGATATGAGCTATGAAGGTATTAAGAAATTGCGCTTTGATGGGACAGGTCGATATCGTTCTGCAATAATG